AAACCTAATTCGAACTTTACCTAACCCTGATGGATGACGTCCAGAAATTCGACAACTAACCTGCCTAACTGGCTTCTCAAAAGCAGTTGAACTGAATAACGGGCATAAGAGAGGCGCAGTCAGGTAATTTTTATTTGAATCAGGAAGTCAGCATAACTTTGCTGCAGTAATTCATCTTATTTACCGTTTAACTTGTTCTTGTAGCGCAAGTTACATAGACGAATAGTTAGACAAGTCTACCGATGAATTTCTGAACATAACCAATTGTTAAGCAAAAGATAGACAAGATAGGTGAGATGATCCCTACTGTCTTATCTGGTTAACAGTAGTCATGGATCTAATGATAAGAGAACTTAATAACTATTCTAAAACCTCAGTCAAACTTTATTCAGTTCTACATTTAAAGAATATCTTCATAAACGATTTTTTCAAACACTTTAGAATGTTTGTGGTAGTGGGCTGGGATTTCTCATGCTGCCGTTATTTCTCTTAATTACAGCTGTAATAACGTGGTTAACCTTTTCCATTTTTCATAGGCATTATTCTGCAGGTTCATTCGTTAGCAGATTATTCAGAATGTTTGGCACTAATACATCACATGTATCAGATAATCTCACTAGTCTGTTTAAATCTATCAAAGGGACTAAGCGTTTTAAATTTCTTAGTCGTTTCTAAGTCATACCGAAGTTTAAGCCATAGTACTAGCTATACTTGAGATTTTACTTTGAATGATCCCTGTAATATGCGCTTAGTTGATTTTTTTACAATGTAACCTCATCTGAAAATACCTAAGGTTCACGACTCCGCTACAGCGCAGCAAAAAGTTAAATAATACAGTTAAAAGATGAACTATAGTATTAAAATAACAAAAAACCTTACCTTATTATTAGTGGATATTTTAAACTGAAATCAGTTTTATGTTTGCCTGTTGAAAATATCTGGCAGTAATTCATAGAGTTGCATTTCACGTTTACAGAGAATGGTAGGTGGTAAATAATAGTACTTCAGTAATTTGACTAGGCATCACTCGATGCTACAGTTGGGTACATTACTTCGCATTAGAAACAAAGCTCATCACAATAACACGTCCCCTAGTTTATCGACCTCATGGCATACTTGGGTGATAGGATTCGTTTATCACTAGGAATTAGGAAACAAAACATTGCTTACTTCTTAGAGTCAGGTAAATGTAAACATTAGTTGTTCACAGCCTTCTCTACTGGTATTCACATGAACTGGAGATAGATTAGTTCGGATGAAAAACGGAGTTTTCATTTCGAGAAGTAATTTCATTTCATGAGAGCAAGGGAATGAAAGTCGTATGGGAGATACTTTTTTCCCACATCTTCATGGGCCACGTAATTACAACGGTGTGTTCTGTTAATCAATTGAATAATTGTTAATTAATCTTCTCTGATGGACAACAATAGGAAGAACAAATTTTTGCTTTTTATAGACACCAAAAGTGAATTTCATCTTTTGCTTCCAAGTGAAATGCTTTTGTTGTAATTATATCTTTCAGGAACGATGTGATCTGATGGTGTAGTGATGATTTAGAGCATAATTTTATTCCTTTTCCAGAAAAACATTTTACGCTCCGTTTGAGTTGAATCTAATTTTCATCAACACAACCATCTTAGGAATACGTTTGTGCTTCACTGTAAGCCTTCGAGTAGATTCATTATCAGGTGTCACAATAGTTTTTCGTTGCTTATTGCTATTCTGAAAGACTTATACTCCTTTTGCTGTCTATATATGAAAGAAAAGTTTGTCGTTTTGAAGCTTCATAGTATTCGGACTCCCTATGAGGATGAATTTAATCACTTTAAGTTTAAGAAGACGAGTTTTCGATTTTTATATTGGTTTTAGTGGATTCAGTTGATCCGTTCTTTATTCGTTGCATTGAATTTTGTTCGGATATATTTTTATGGTTATCGTTTGCATCCATTGCTGTAAGACAAGTAAAAACAGTGGAATTCATGACTACTGATGTACGAAGAATAATCATCCTCGCTGATCTGCATTCAGCTGAAAGTTTTCATTTGGCAAAGAGTTCTTTTCCTTTCAAAATGCTGACATCATCAGAATGAGTTTCTTGGAAAACTTGTAAACAACGAATAGAAGCTGATCCTACAAGGGGTTAAAACAATACGAAAGAAGACTTGGCCATGGACTTTGAGATTGTTGGTATTTACCGGCATAGCGAAATTGTAGACTGGAAAATACATTGGCTAACTTTTTACTGACTAGCCAATGTATCCTATAAGGTAGTATACCATGTCAGCCACAGCAGAGTCTAAATACCTAAGTGGTAATGCTGCTTACTGCATCACTGAGTGACTCAGTTTCGGATACATGAGGAGACATCAGTTATTTTGAAGTTTCGGACACATTTCGGTACTACATACCGATAAGCATGAGACTTACGTCTATAATTTCTTGACGATTGCATCAAATGGCTTGAAATCAGTTAGAGTGTACCGCGATGACTAATCTTCATCAAAAACAAGATATATATATATATACATATATATATATATATATATATATATATATATATATATATATATATGATACTTAAAGACTGTAATCCCTGAAGAAGATTTAACTTTAATAGTGAAGGGTTGAAACAATAATAATGGTGGTGATTATTATAATGTTGCTAGTTGATGACGTACAGGTTGAATGATAACAGAAAGGGGTTAAGTAAGATTTTCAAGTCGTGTATCAAGTGTATATAGATTAAAAAGGGCTGAGAACATTGATAAACAATCAAAAGGATTAGGTAATATAAGTGAGACAAGTTAATTGAAGTGAACTCAAAATGTTTTATAGAACGTTGCGATAATTAGAAAGATCCAGTGAAATAACACCGGAAACAATTAAATATGAAAATAGAGTGATAATGACAGTATAATAGTACAAAGATTAATCTAATAAAAGGGGGAAGGGGTGAAAAACGAAAAAAGAGGACGAAGTGCACCAAGACTAAAATAAATTAAAATCAAGGTAGAGACAATGACTGTACATACTTCTTTTGCACACAAAGGTCAGGCTTCAGCTCATGGATAGCCAAGGTCTCTACTGTTTTTAGAAGCTGAACACATAGGAAACGTGAGATGTTTGGCGACTTCGATAGACAACCTTGAAATCCTTGTTTGAGTTGGCTGAATGGTTGGAGTCTATTAAATGCTCAAGGATAGAACTTCTGATGCATTTCCTTATACCCTTATAAAACCAGGCTGGAATATACTCTCGTATAAGTGTTGACAGCAATCTCTGACTACAGCCGACGTATCTTGCTCCACAGGAGCAGGTGAACCGGTAGTCTTCAAGCGTAGTGGCTTGATGGAAAACTTTGTCGATTAAACTCGGCCAGCATTTAGGAGGAGACAGTATGTTAGTGTTCTTCAGTGGCCAGTTTGTGGGTTTATGATGAACCTTTATGAATTGTCACTAATTCTGCTAAATATCACGTTGCGCACACTTAATATTATGAACTGAAATTCAAGTCTTTGGTACTATCTGCGTTGATACTTCGTATGTTATTCACGTTTTTTGCCAATAATTTCGACTTTTAACCAGATATCTGATACATGGCACCAGCAAACTAATAGGAAACTAAGTTTTTTCTCGTGCATGAAGGAAAGTTTCGTAAACTTCGACTGACAGTTCACTTAACCAAGGACTTTATTGTTGGGTGCTTGAACCTTTCAAATAACTACTGTGTTGAACCAAGTTGATCAGTTCCTTTTGGTGTAAGGGATCCTATGTAGATGCTTCAGTGTTTCCTGAAGACTATTTATAATGTGATTTGATTGTTGATGGCTGGTTGTGTGGAATCCAGAAGGCAGATTTCTCCCTGTTTGGAACTTGTCAACTGGACGTATCTGTATCTCAGTGAGTGTTGGTGTTCCATGCCACCGTCTTAAACACTTCAGTATTATATACCATACTATATAGTCTTGGCACTCGCCCTTGTAAAATGGGTATCACTTGTTATTTATTGATACCTGAATGGAAAGGATCGAGACAAATGAGAGATGATTGTTGTAGCTCAGTAGCGTAGTCAATGATGCCCTAGCACTTGAAGCGATAGAAGCTGGGACTCACTTTATGGGCGAAACTTACTGCTGTCTGAGATGTGGGCACATTCAGTAGACAAGTCTCGGATGGAACGAAACACATTTCCTGGATCCCATTACTGGACTATACCCGTCAAATAGACCTAACTTTTCAACCACAATGTATAAATTGTTTAAATTGTTTCTAAGTTAGCCGATCGGTCTGTGAACTGTTATTATTACAAGTTGGTACCAATTTGAAAATATGTTTATCCACTGACTAACTGGTCCACCAACTGATCGATTGCATGACATAGTTAAACCCTGTGGTCTGAATTTGTTCAGTTATTTTGATCCACAAAATGTTTTTATTTGTTGTAATTAGCTTTATTCATTTGGTTTACACTTGATTTCGAGTAAATTGTTCCCAATGATAGCAGATTACGCGAGGTTGTCCAAGGGAAGGATGTAATTGGAAGTCATCAACTCCTTGTTAGTAGTGAATTTATCTTACAATTTGTGAGTAGCTGACTCTGGATATATTTAGGGATAAAGAGGTAAAGAAGAATAGAGTAGATTGATAGATAATCACACCGAGTTTTGTGCGCTGGATGCAAATGTTCACATCACTGAGATTGATGTGCGAATTTTTTTTGCACTAATGTCAGTCCTGGTTACGTGAAATTTTATTAGGTAGCTAACTAGTACAGATAAACACTCGAAAAAAACAATGAAGTTCTATCTTAGGTAAATTGAAGAGTTGAGAGGAAAATGCTATTTAGCCTCTGTGACTATAAATATTGAAGCTATCTAAATATTACTGCTTAAAGTTTAAGAAGCATTGTTGTTCTAGAATATTATCTATCTTATTGAAATCTTTAAATCTAAGGTGATTTATAGTTGGTTTGTACTCTTTTTGCTCCTCTTCTTCTCTAGATATTTTATGTATCAAATGTCAGTTGGATCACCAGTCATCTTCAAGTTTAATTCAACTACATCCTGAAAGTCAATCAGTTACACTGAATAGTACAGTCCGCCTACAATGTCGCGTACGAATGTTGATAGATCCAGATACTGGAGCAGGAGCTCAAGTCTACTGGTCCAAAAATGATTTTGGCATTGGTGGTAATCGTGAAGACATTCAAGAATATGGGCGTAATTCACGATATGAATATTCACGTTATGATTTACCATACAATTTAAAAGAGGGTAAGTTATGTTTAATAATAATCTTCATAATAACAGTTTTTACATTCGGCATCAAAGGCAAAATACTAACAGACTAGTAGGCACTAAAAAAACTAGTTTATCCTTAGTTGAAATGATCTGTCCATTGGTTCTCTTACAAAACTTTAAAGCTCCTTGACCGAGTGTTACCCACAGCAGTGTCAGGTTTGTTGACTGAATTTGGTAATTAGTCTTTTTCAGCTCCAGTCATTGACATATTCACCAGTCTTATAAGGCAACTGTTATCAGTTTTATCGGTGATCTAGCAGGATAGGTGTTAGTTTTGACTAAGTATACCAGCCTGAAAATCCTTACCACTCTGGAGTCCTTCCTTGCTATTAGTCTGCAGATTTGTCCCAGTGATTTTTCAGCTATTGAGTTTCACACATTGACCTTCTGAGATTTAAATCGGCAATACTAATAATTTTAAAAAAAAGATTTACGGATCTTCATCTCCAATATATATATGGGCTGCTACTCAATTACTGAGCTAACTTGTATCAGTGGCTAAGACCTAGAAAGTTAGACCTTGATAACATATTCTTAGATGTATCTAGTCTTTGTGAAACTAGCTATAAATTACACAACATTCAAATATCACAGTTAACAGCCCAAACAAACCAGTGACTATCCGGTTACTTAGAGAAACAGCCAAAATAATGTTTGGTGAAACTGAAGATTCGACGATGTACTGTCAGTGACCGATTAATACAACTGAAATAGTATATTTAAAATTTATACATTTCCGAATAGTTTAATGATGAAGGTATAGGAAAACATGAACTTGTTTTTCGAAGGTACGATGATTTCCGTAGGCGCTCTGAAAACGTTCTAATGATGAACAGGATATATTATTGAATGTAGGTGTAGTAAAATTCTCTATTGATTACCCTCAATCACCCAACATCCACTTCTCTGTTAAGTCAAGAAGTTTAGGATTCCCATTCTAAGCTTCATTTGTGCTTCACGGTTAACACAGTAGGTTTAACATAATTATAGTGATTACTGTCTCAAGTATCTACTTCACGTGAATTATTCAGCTTTGTATTAATCCAGAATAATATAGGTAATAGTATAGAACAGATGATAGATAAATAATTCATTTATACCATATTAGACTTGTTTATTTGATTTATAACACAGTGATATAGTATTATTTACTTCATGACGTTTCGAGAATAAATTATCATTGCCCATGATAATATCAATGTAATCACACCACTTCCGACATTTGATTTTTATAGTTAAGTTACCCCACATGATTTGTTTTTATTGATAATAAAATTTTCTATATCTCTGGTACGGGTGTTGCGTCATTTTCATTACATGTGTTGCATGTTGATTCGATTAGTTAAGATTCAGTAATCGATCTTTCTCACTCTACTGAATTATATCTGATTTAAGTACAGTGGCTTTATCCTATCCACTCCATTGTGTGTTTGTGTGTTAATGCACGCATAGCAATAGCCGAGTTTCTTTCTAGATTATTGATCTTATTCGGGATTGTCATTCTACATTTAGCTAAATTCCTATGTCCCACCATTCTAATTGACTCCGACCGGCTAGTTTAACCTATGTACTTGACCTCACAGTCATTACGTGGAATTTGATAGATTAGAATATTTTGCTTAATTGGTTCTATCGGATCGTTAGGCCGACAAAGCTTATCTCTAAATGAGTTTATAGGTTTAAATCCCACCCTAATTTCAGCTTTGTTTAGGGTCATACGTAAAGTTTCTGATGTACCTTCCTTATAAGGTAACACAATGGAGGCTGTGATCTCCTTTCTATTTGTGTTGTCGTTATTATTAGTTTTCGTACTCGCGTTGCTGTTATAGCGCTAATACATCACATGTTTCAGATAATCTTCATCTTCTCATTACGCTGTTTAAATTTATCAAAAGGACCAGTTGCTTTAAAGGTTATTATTTCGTTTCTCATGTATTCGTACGAATTTCTTAATAAGCTGCGGAGGGTAATTATTAACTATTAGTACTTCTTTTATGTATTTCAATTCCTTGTTTAAGTCCTTGCACTTAATAGTCAGTTTTCCAGCTCTATCACCTGGACATTTGGCTGAGTCTGCCTTAACTGACATTGTGTGGGATGACTTGAAGTTTAGATACGTGTTGGGATATGTCGGTTTTCTGTAGATGGTAGTATCCAAACCACCATATTGGCTATGCTATTGCTACTCCTTCTGTTTGTCTGCATATTTTGTCCCGAAACAGTTTATTAATTCACTTATAATTGAGGGAAAGTCTTATTAAAATGAATTTTGTAACCCGATGTCTCCACACTGTCCACCGAATCGTTTATGTTTACAAGTGAGCGACTTGGTATTTACAAGTAAGACTGTACTACACACTGCACTGGTATGGTATTCTGGTAAAATAATCACGAATCCTTTATTTCATCCTAATTTTTATCAAGTTTAAGTTCCGGGTTATTTAAACTTAGTAACAAATTGAGAGAGTATCTCTTTTATCGTCTAAGGATAAGTGTACTAGTGACAAGATAAAATCCCGCTTCCTTTGCTACAACTTGTTATCAATCGGTTTCTTTTCCGCACAGCGTGAAGCTGAGTAGGAGAAACAAAAGGAGATATGAAGTGTGTTAACTGCTTGGCTTTGTGTGTATGATATTATATCACACTCTCTCTCACACACACACACACACAGAAACCTCTTCCTTTCTACCTCTTATTTCCTTCCGTTTACATACATTGTTGGAGTGAGCTGAACAGGTTATCTAATTTTTTTCTGCTTAACTAAAATCTGAATCCTTTGATGAAATGCTTTTATGATTCTATAGTTATCCACAATGAATTTGTCCACAAGTTCATGATGGAAATTATTTTCTAAGCATTATTGTGAAAACATTAGGGTAGAATTTCACTCATATATATTTTCCCTGAGATTAGTCACCCCTCAATTGCCACTTCTTTTTCATGGTTTTTCTGTGCTTCTATGGGACTTCTATCCAAAATTTACAGCTTAAAAAGATGTCCAGTCTATATTATCGAAGATTTTGATTCGGACGTCTACATACTAACTGACATATCTACTTCGGCAATCAACAGCGTAAAACTGGATTTTGCATCACGGACAACCAAAAGGAAAAATCACCAAAAAAACAGTTGGCTATCGACGTGGTTTTCTAATTGGTTTGAGTGTTTTTCAGTAGTTTGCTTTCTCAAGATACATTCACACTGCATCTGCATCCGGAGTTGTAGCGGGAATCTGCGACCATTATGTGAGTAAAACATCAAGCTTTGGGACAATCAGTATTCTTGGTGTTGAACGTAATTATCTACGCCTTAGTTGTTAGCTGTATGTGGTTGGATTCAACTCGTAGTCATGATTATGTAGACATTTAAAGCCTTTGGAGCCAGGCACCAATAAGAGATGGTAGTCGTTTTTTCCAAAATGAAACCCTTTTTGATTATCATATATAAAGCAAACAGACTGATGTCAGTGCATGATGAACATCAACTTGAAATCAACAATCCCCGGAATCAAAGTGATCTAGTGCTCATGGGTAACTAGCTTCCAGAGGTTATTCCTGAAGTCCCAATTAGAAGTCGTGCGTGACCAGTGGGGCAAACCTGATGGACGTGAGGATAAATACTCATCAATGACATTGCATGATGCTTGCGCTGTGTCACAAACTGATAAAAGTTGTAAATATGAACCACTAAATTCCAACCAAGTGCCTCAATGACAACGTATTGGCGGAACCTGAAGGTCTTGGATTCAGTCCCTGGCGAGGAGGAGTCGTGGGTGCGCACTGCTGAGAAGTCCCATACTAGAGAGAAACATTTGTCCAATGCTTCTAGATTTCCAATGTTCCTCCGACTGATGTTAATCTATGATGAATACCAACCCGAAATCAATAAAAAAAACCTATAAACCCTCAAGTTAATATAAAGACTGCAATAGATGTAAAAACCACTGAGATACTCAAGCCTAAACAATAGTCAACAACTGCACCTAAAAGCTAGCATAAACTTTCATAAGGGGTTGTAACCAGTGGACTACAACATACCTTTAGGCTACTTCTCTAAATTGTTTAATGAAATATTTCTACTAGTCCTGTCTACATGCTAGTACTTCAGTCCCTAAATAATATATTCATCAATGAAAGGGAAGGAGAACTATGTTATCAGCAGTATCGCATAGGTCATTAACTGCAGTGATAAATTTGAACATCTCTACTTTGAGTCCTAAAAGAGACCAGGTTATTTTGTTTTTATTTTCCGACATTGTACAACATATTCTCATCACATGTCCCACTTAATACATCGGTGTTTTTTGATTACCGGACACAATTCAAACAAAAAGTAGAGAAAATGATAAGCTTTCAATGTAATTTCCGAACGGCGACTTTAGTATTCTACTCTCAACTGAATTACAGGAAAACCTCAAAATTTGAGTAAATGATCAGAAACCAAATAAGTTTACTAACAAATAATAATAGGGTATGACAGAATAACTGTAAAATCGGCCAACGGAAACCATGACCAGCAGTTCGGTAAAATAAACTTATCTTAACCTGCTAACAAGTGATAACAAGCAACAACTTCACAGTGTTTAAAATGCAGAATTTGTCAAGAAAATATGAGGTATCACTGCAATGACCACAGGCCATGTAAACCAGACTTAAATCATTAGACTGATGTAAATGATACTCAGGTGAATAGACTATATTCTTTTTATTTCATCAAGAATCTGAACTTCAGATAGTGCTGAGACTGATGCAGACTCGAACCTGAAAAGTTATCAGAGCTCAGTCAACACTAATACACTACTGCTGTAAAATTGACTCATCACCACTCAGTATGATAGAAGTAGGCCGTTTTTCAATAGGAAATAATATATATTCATTCTCTAACTGAAGGTACTTTCATCACAAGTATCAGGAAGTGTCGTCGTTCCTCATTCTTATAACTCTGTTGTGTTTAAGTAGACTAGAATCGGTTA